CCCCCCAGCCTGGCCCGGGCCTCGCTCACCGCCCTGCCACACGCCCTGGGGACCACGGCCTCGGCCCTTCAGACCAGACTACAGAGGGGGCGCATTGGCGAGTGCGAACGCTGGGGGACGCAGGGCCCCGGCCCGCTGAGTCCCAGCTGCGTGAAGTTGGGAGGGAGGTGCTCACCCACGAGGACGGTGCCGGCACCCGCTTCACCGAGGGCCGCAGATGTGACAGCACGCGACACACCGGCGGCGACGCCTGGCTCGTCAACCCTCCCCCAGACACACACAGAGCAACGCGAGAGTCACAGGCAGGCCACGCGAAGGAGCCGAGAGGGCCCGTCCCACAGCGCGGCTGCTTCGTAAACTTGGCCGCAGACACAGCTGCGCTGGGCCCCTCCCCGCGGGAAGGGACGCAAACGCCTGTCCCGCAGAAGGTCTGAGGGCGGCGCCCGCAGCAGTCTGGGTTCCACTGCCCTGGCACCCAGCAAAGGGTGTGTGCACTTCGTGGATACGACACGTGCAAGGCGTCGCCCAGCGGCTGCCTGTCTGGCTAAAGCCACGCTCCACTTACAGAGGAGCAGCGAATAGCGACCGTTACGACGAGTGTTCACAGAAACGGTCTCACAGACAAGTGCTCGCACAAAATTGTGTGGTAGTGGCCGTGTCTCACGCGTGAGGACTCAAGTCCTATGGGGCTTCTTTAAGGCTTCGCCTAACCTGCAAAACCTCCTCAGTGCGTTTGCCCCGAAAACGCTGGGCCTGCTCTTCCCTTCCGGTGGCCACTGCGCGGCCTTCTCCCACGTGAGGACAGAAAGGTCCCCCCCAACCCCCCGGCGAGTGGGCGCAGCACAGCAGTGGGCTCAGCAACCCCGACTCCGATAAGACAGAGTGGGTGTGGCGGCAGCAGTGTTTTGTGAATGGAGATGAGGGTGCGCTGGACCAGGCCCGGGAAGGCTCCTCCCCGTGCCCTCCGTGAGGACGCCCGGTCCCTGAGAGTCACTGATTAACTCGGGGCGTGCTCAGCCCCCGCCGGAAAATGAGGCGACGTGTGGGCCACAGACAAGGGCTCAGGGTCGAACTGCAGGGCGCAGAGGGCAGCGCCCTCGCTTTTTCCGAGTCAGGGAAACGAAGGGGCCGGGCGGCCCTGGGAGGCCGGGGCGTGGCCGCGTCATCAGGCGTGCTGGGTGAAGAACCCCAGGTTCTCCAGGTAGAGAGGGCACCTGGCTCCTTTCCCGAGACCCCCCGCCGCCCCCCCACCGTGCTGGGCCTGGCGCCGTGCTCCCTTCACAGGACGCCCGTGTGCGCGGCGGACACCACGCCAGTGCTGTCCTGGGAGTACCCCCTGGGAGTTCCCCCGGAAACTCCAGGGTCGCTGGAAATGAGAGCCCCGGCGAGCACGTTTACGTATTGGTCTTAAATAGTACAGCTCTGGGGTGAGTCAGTCTCCTTTCTAGTTTGGGACTCTGGGTGCCTTCATGATTCTTACCCGTTTCCGTTCAATTACTACACGGTTACTTTAAGCCCACAACAAACACTTTTGTGCTCCACGAGAGGGTGGCTGGGACGAGCCGACTCAGGAGTGGAAGAGCAAGTCAGATGTCCACTGGGCAGCTACGACCCCAAAGTCGCTGCTGGTTGGCGACAGGGCTGGAATTGGCGGACAGACGCTGGCTGCTGGCCCCTGCCCCGTGAGTCCCGCCGCCCTCCCCCTCCTCTGCAGTTAGATCTGGGAGGCAGATTCTGGGACAAGTCGTACGGAACAGCCCACGGCTTCCAGTACCTGGCGCCACGCAGCGGGCACCGGCCTCCTGAGGGCGCCTGTCCCACTGCGGCCTTATCCACGTGGGCACTGAGACTTTAAAATTCGGCCATTAGTAGAAAACCAGCGCTCCTTTTACTACTACTAGTTAAACTAAACATGTTTCCACTAATGTGTTCTTTACGTAGGAATTTAAGATGGTAACAGTAACCGCCAACACAGCATCGGGGACACCCCCCGTGAAGTGACCACCCACAGAGCACCCCCCGTGAAGTGACCACCCACAGAGCACCCCCCGTGAAGTGACCACCCACAGAGCACCCCCCGTGAAGTGACCGCCCACAGAGCACCCCCCGTGAAGTGACCGCCCAGAGAGCACCCCCCGTGAAGTGACCACCCAGAGAGCATTGGGGACACCCCCCGTGAAGTGACCGCCCACAGAGCATCGGGAATACCCTCAGTGAAGTGACCACCCTGGAACCCTGGGACGTCTCATCCACAGCTGCTGCCACTCGTCCCCATCCCCACAAAAGGTCCCACAGTTGGAGACATCCGAAGAAATCACGCTTCTGGATTGCTGCTAAGATCCCTCACCCCTAAAGCTTCGTCTGAGCTCAGGGAGAGCGGGGCACATGTTTGGTTGATTCTGACACCCCGTCGCAATGTCGGTGAGGAAGACACTCCCTGTACGGCTGTTACACGCACACTGGAAACACGCATGGATGGGACAAAGCAGACACGGAAGCCGTACTTCCGAGCATCTGAAGCGAGCTTAGCCCAGTGGGCATCACAAGGGGGAACGCGCCAGGAGAAGCAACTCCTGCCCCTCCCTCCTTGCAGTGCCCAGCACAGCTCCAGCCTCTGCCCTTGGTCCTGCCTTTCAGGAAGGTTCTGGATGGGGCAGCGGGACGCATGGCCCCCTGCCCCTAAGGCATGTTCCCCGGAGGACCAGCAGAGCAGAGTACAAAGTGCTTCCTGGCGTGTCTCTGCGTCCCTCTGACTTCCACTTTGCAGACCTTTGAGCAAGTAACTCTTCTGGCCTCTAAGTGTTTTTATAATACTTGACTGTTCAAGCCCAGCGATCTGCAAATGGTTAATCGTTAACTAAGAGAACATTTCTTGGCTCTAGCAGATGAGGATTCTCGGTGCCGGTCTATTGATAAGAGGGGCGAGGCATGGAAGGAAAAAGCGACTCAGGCAAGGTCATGTCAAGTGTAAATCATCGGCCACAGGAGAGGAGGCTATCAGAGCACCAACTTCTGTTTTTTTTTAATTAATTCTGTAACCCACTCAGCCATTACTTTGCAATTAGATCTCCCGTGCAGTTAGGCCAGAAAGATTTTAATCATTCAATAAATGGCTCGGAAGCTGCAGGCGGTAGTAATGTATTTTAAATTGCGTGAGCAAAGTCACGGGCATACCTTGGGTCACATTTTTCAATGGGCACAAGCTTCCCGACGGACAGGACTTCAGTTTCACGAGCCCCGCTCACCCCCGCGCCCAAACCCGGCCGGCAGGTCCTGAGCCATCGGAAGGTGAATTTATAAAACAGGTGAAAACGTTAAATGAACATTTGACCCTTCGGGTAATCTAAAGGTAGAGTGCGTGACGTGGTTAACTTCACAAGGAGGACAGCCTTTCACACCAGGACACACAGTCGACACACGATTCTAGCAAGTTCACGTGGTGGATTTTAGGAGAAAATCAAAACGCAGCTGACGGAGTCCCTCTCCACAGCAACGAGCGCAGAAACTGGCGGAACACACTCTGCAGGCCGAGCCCCAGACCCACGGGAGGACGAGACTCGACGGGCGGCGAAGGCGAAGGGCGCCGTTCAGGCCGGCGAAGAGCCCACTGCAGGACGGCCACGGCGCTGCCTCGTTAACTCCCAGACACGGCGCGGCGCCAGGGTCCCGTCTGCACCCGGGGCGGGGGTCGGGGTGGGCAGAGAACCTGACAAGCCCACGTCGAGTCCCCGTGCAGGCATACCTTTAGGAGAATAACCCAAGAAGCTGTCCTACAGGATGAACGAGCTACAGCCGTGAACGTGGCGCTCTTCTGGCACCGCCCAGCGGAACAGACCGGAAGTTCGGGGTGGGCACGGGCCAGCCCGAGCCCCCCGCACCCGGCGCAGGAGAGGTGCCGAGGGCAGAAAGGGGGGGTTCCCCAACAAGGCCCGGGGGCTGGCAGGGGCTGGCGGGGGCCCGCACCACACATGCGTCGCACACGCGTCACAACCAAGTCCAGGTGTGCGAGCACGTCAGGGCGGGACAGCGAGAACAAAGTGGGAACGGCTTTGCCCCACACGGTTCAGAGGCAGAACTAAAACAAAAGACTGATACATTTGATAAGACAAATAATACCAAAGTAAAGCTGTATTATGGGTATCGATCGTTTTCTTTGTTCTTTATACTATAATCTCTTAAATTTGTCTTTTCATTCCATTAGTTCCTTCTGACACAGAAAGAATTTAAAAACTGTAAGAAAAAGAAAATCAATCCTTTCTCTAAAGCTTCTTTGCTGTGGCCTAGAAATGACTTTCTTAACACCAAACCAGATCAATTTTCACTTAGACTTTCTGATGATTCTTTCATTGTTTCTTATTTTACGTTAATTAAACAGGTGAGGGGGGTCAGAACACGGCTCTGTGCTACAGGAACTGTTCGATTCGGGGGTGTCACTTAGCCTCTGGGTGTCCCGATTCCGTTTCCCTGGTAAAACAGGTGCAGTAACACCGGCCCCTGAGAGCGGCCGTGGGGCTCGCACGGAGCACTTTACACGAGGCGGCCGTCACGGTAGAGCCCGGTGCAGAAAGAGTCAACGATGGTGTCTATGGCTTGTCACCTATTACACTGCCCATCAGACTTCTGAGTTTCACTGATGCATGTTCTGATGATACATTTGTCTGATACATTTGCATGACTAGCAACTTGCGGCAATGACACTTTTTTTATCTGACTTTAAAACAAATTTCACATGATTTAATTAATGGTATAGTCCTTTACTTTTTAAGTTGCTTTTAAACCACAACATATGCCAATCAGAAAAATGCCTGACTTCTGCGAAGACCGTCTTGTTACAAGCAGCAGCCTGCCATTTGGTCTTTCGAAGCCGCCGCCTGAGGTCGTCAGACGGCCGGGGAGCAGGGTCTCCCAGCAGCGGGAAGAGGGTGCCCCACCCCCCACCCGCCCGAACCGTGGAGACCGCCCGCGGACTTGACGCCCAGATGGGGATGCTCATGTCTCACCTCTAGCAGCCCGTCCTCGGGGAGGTCGGTGCAGTGAACGGCGTTCTGGACCTTCGTCTTCCCGAAGGTCGCTCGGAGGGTCCCGGGGCGCAGGTGCCGGGCGATCTCCTGCGAGAGACACACGCACAGAGAGACTCGCGTCAGCCGCACGGTGTGGACCAGGGCACGGCCCGTGACACGGCGTGCTGGAGCACCTTGTTCACGGAATACACGCGTGCAGTGGCTGACACGCCCACACGCACACACGCCACCAGGCCTCTTGGTTGCCACGTGCAGGGCCCTTCGGCTGCGCCACCTCCTTCAGGTGCGCCCGCGTGTGACGTGCTCTGCACCTGGACTGAGGACAACACTGCTGCTTCTTCACAGACACGGGCCGCCCCGGGGAGGAGGCAGGGCGGCAGGGCAGCGACCGGCCGAGGGGCCCCGGACTCCCACGTCGGTGCCTGTGGATGAGAACCGAGAGGCACCCACGCCCCGTGAAGACCCGCCGAACCGCCCGGCGACCACCCGCAGTGCAGGACCGGCGGACCCACGCTGGGCAGCAGCGGGCACGTGCAAGTAACTGATCTCTTGTCTTAGCGTGCTGAGTTTCTTCACTTCCTATTTTTAAAATACGTCCTCCTCTGTCCCTCTATAATGCAGTCACTCACATTCTTACGTACTACATACAACCTCGTGGCGAGGGCCTCATTTATAACGGGAAAAATAAACTCTCTGCGCCACAGCGCAATGTCAAGCAGGTTTTCTTGGAGAGAGAGACACGACGTGTGTGCAGGTGTGTGCACGTACACAGACATACTTTAAGGCACTCCTCTGTGCAGAGAATAGGCTGAATCACTCTACTAGTGGGAGCATTCACTACGTGAGAGGACCCCACGGCCTAGATAATTCAGGTTCAAGTTGCTACCTTCAAAAGCATCTCATTTTCCTTCCCCGAGTTTTTATCGTAAGGAGCTATTTTTTTTTTTTGGCTTTCATCTTTATGGGTAATAGCTCTTTTAAGAATAAAACGGTTCTTCCCTTCAGCAGTTATATTCTACAAGGTCACTCTACCCTCCCCCCAGATCCATTTTCCCTGCCCAGCAGAGCGGTCAACGATGACTTTCATCGGGAACAGACCCCGCATCTCCGAAATACGCTCCATCTCCGTGGCCCTCCTCTTCCAGGCTCGCCGGCCCCGCTGGTCCGCACCGGCCCCGCCAGGGCCGCGTCCAGAATGCATTACCGAGATTCCGCGTTCTCTCACACTGTTGGGCCGCAGCCATTTATAAAACTAATGAGAACTCCGGACTCCAACCAGCCCGTATGATTGAGCACTTTAGGAAACCCCAGGAAAAGTAATTTCAAACCTGGCACGCGGCAGCAGCGGCTGGAACGGACGCGGGCCACCCCCAGCCCTGGCCCTTCTGCCCGGGCCTCAGACCCCAGTCCCCGGGGGCCGGCCGTGCCCCGCACCCCCTGCCCTCTGCCGTTTCCCTCCCACCATCTAGTCCACTTCTCACCACAGTGCATGTTTTTATGAACTTTTCCTTGCATTTTACCGGAAAAAGGAAATTTAAAATAAATAAATGGATCTATTAAAGGCACTGTGGTAGGCGTTTAGGAGATACACAGAGTGAAGTTACAACACAGTCACACACCCGTCAACAGGTATCTCACCATCACAGTGACAGGCAGCTGAGCAGAGTCTTCAACGATGAGTTTTTACAAATCACGGAATCGCCAGTCCGTGTACTACATGCCTCACTCTGTGCAAGGTTTGGCTACTTTGGTAAAAAGCATTTAAACCCACGCGGCACATGCCCACTGGCCCTACTGAATCCACAAGCTGCACGGGAAGGACCCCAGGCGTCGGGGCGCTGCGGACGCGGGCTGACGCAGTCCGGCCACTTTCCTGATACGACCACACGGTTCCTTCGGCTCTGAGACGCGACAGAGAGCTGGTTTCCGAACACGACGAGCGGACAGCCGCCGAGCTCCTCCAGCCCAGGCGCCTGCGGAGGAGCGGAAGCAGGCGCCCAGGCCCCTCTTCTCGTGGGCGCCGCGGCTGCCGTGACTCCGGGCGCAGCCCGTTTACCAGACAACGTCTCTGTGCACGGAAACAGGACCTAGCAGAGGAATCGCAGCTTTGGCAAGCAGCCTTCCGTTCTTGCTGGCACAGCTCACACGTGCTCAGGCGTGAGTGCTTCGGGCGCTGTGCGTGTGGCACGGCGTGTTGCATGCATGTGAGGAGCCTGCGCCTGGGCTGCGCGGTGGGTGCTGGCGGGCCAGCCGGTGAGCGCGGCTCCTGCAGTGCCTGTCGCTTACTGTGTCCCAGACGCGACAAAACTCCTGTGTGTGCTGATGCGCTTCTGGAACCGGCCGAGGTCTGGCTATGCAGAGAAAACATTTCACAGAGGAAACCGTGTCGTTGCTGAGGTCAAAGACTAGGAAACCCTGTCTTGTAGTTTTAGGAAGAAAATGACAAAACGGATTACAAATGAATAAACCTCATTTGTCTTCTGACCCAGCAATTTCGCCTGCAGGCACTTGCTCTCAGATGGTAATAACAACCTTGTGCGAACGTGTATTGTTCAAATCCGGCTTCTGCAATGTCCTCGTACACAGAATTTTTAAAAAATCGACAGCGGAGGAGCAATTAACCAGCCCATATCCTGGAATACTATGCAGCTTTTAATAACCATGTTACAGAAGTATATGCAATACATGAGAAAGAGCACAACATATTTTTAATTAAATAGGGATACTGCAGAAAGTAAACACTTCATGATCCTGTTTTTATAAGGTGCATAAAAAACATGCTGGTTTGAGGCCGAAATGTCAGTTAGCAGTGCTCATTTCTGGGGAGGAGAGAAACATGTTTGTTTTGTTGGGTCTTGGTTCTCTTCCGTAATTTTCCTTATTTTCGGTCTGTTTGCCTTTTGGGGGCGTGAGGGTGGGGATAACATGTGAACTGTTTCAGTGACTAGAAAGAAAACAGTGACCACCAGGTTGAGACGCTCCATCTCCCCACTCCAGCACAGAGACGCCTGCCTGCAGGCCTGGCTCCCCCGCTCTCGCCGGCGGGGGGCCGGAGGGCGGCAGGCTTGGGGCCGTGGGGAGGGGCTGGGGAGGGGGGACAGCTCCCACCAGAACACCCAGAAAACGAGCCCCACCGGGATGTGCTTTGATGGTGGCGGTCCAAGTGAGGAGTACGCTCAGTCTCCCAGGGCGGCCTCCAGTGCCATCGCTCCCTGGGTACAAGGGGGATCGCAATGTGCCCGGTCCTGAGGCGCACGGGCGTCTGCTGCCACGGGAGCCTGGGAGCGCGGGTTCACTGCCGATCATGGCCCGCCTTCCAGCTCCATCGCAAAGGGGGAGGGGAGACTGCACAGGGTTCCCAGTAAGTGTGCGCATGGTTCTTGTCCCTCAACTGGGACACCCACCCATGGAATCTGAGTTTCCTTAAAGCTCGGGGTGTCCCGAAGCAGGGCAGACGTCAGGGAAAGACGGGGTAACTGAGACGACTGAAACGTGCTCTGAAGACCAACGCTTTGCAGCCCAAACCTAGCGGGGCCAAACGCAGACTCATTCACACAGCACCTCACCGAGCCTCACGACTACTCAGATGAATACACCGAAGTCCACTGATCAGATACAGAAGTGAGAAAAAACAAAAACGACACCCCATGCCTCCCTTTATTCATAGAAATTGACTTAGATCTGTGCTCCCTTCTCAGTGCTGTTTTCACACTGCAGACAGACGAGGCATTTAGCACAATTTACACCCTTTGTCCCTTTCTGTTGCTGCTGTTGGGGTTGTTGCGGGCCAGGTGCACCGCACCACCCAGGCCTGTCACAGACGCAGAATTCCAGCCCCCCAGCTTACCACCCCCCCCATGGAAACATCATGGAGATTCAACAAGACTCCAGGGGTTTCCATGTTCACGGAAGTCGAAGAAGGTCCTTCGTATTAGAGCGTTTCCCCAGCAGTGGAGACACCCGAAAGGTGTGACCCCGAGTCAGTGACTAGACCGGGGGGAGGGGGACAGTCGTGAAGGGTGAACCGTGTACGAGGGGCACACGCCAGCCGCAGGTGCAGACAACCGTGGGTGTGGGGCCTGAAGGAAGGCACAGTCGCTCCGGGGGCGGGGGGGGGCAGCGAGTGTCGTCCTCAGGACGGCGCGTGGAGAAGACAGACTGGAGGGTGGGACGCTCGCCCTCCCCTGCGTGCGTTTACTCTCCAGCAGGTCTGCACGCCTGACGTGCCCGAGCTCTGAGGGGGGGGTGGGGTCAGGAGAGGGGCCGCAGAGCAGTGCCCGTGCGGGAGCCTGGGCAGAGCGCACGGGTCAGGGGCAGAGCTGGAGGCCACGGAGGGAGGAGTCCCGAGAGAGCGAGAGAGCGAGCGCACCGGTTTATTCTGGACGGGCCGCCTGCTGTGAGGGAGGGCGGGCTGTTTGCCCCGCCCCCCCGCACTCGACTTCTTACCTTACACGCTCCATTTGGGCTGCGCCTAAAATGCAGGGAAACCTGTTCTGGGAGCACCGCTGAGAGGAAATCCACTGGCAAGAACAGATTTTTTGAAGTACCATATAAAACACCAACTACTGTGAGCTAATATTTTCGTTACATTTTAAGTGCTTTCAAAAGACCGGGCCTGCCCTTACTCCAGAGGCAGGGTGACAATCGCCCTGCTGTCTTCTGCCACCAACTGAAACTCAACAAACAGCGATGGCAGGGTGGCCCCGGCCTGCGCGGTGACATTTAAGGGCCCCTGAAATCCCTTCCTTTGGCTTTGGCAGGGGCAGGACTGTCTCACCGAGATATAAATAAAAGGTCTTACTAACGGCCTCCCGGGAACGCCGTGGCTCGGCGCTCTCCGCGCCAGCTGTAACCGATGCCGGGCCCGAACCTGGCACCGGGCCCGGGGCCTCCACCCAGTGACCGACGGTCAGGTGGCAGGCCCTTTCATGTCCCAAAACGGCAACTTCCCAGGGCCTCACAAAGGCCTGGGAGTGTTCTCCTCCGAGCGGAGCAGGAAGCCTCCTGCCGCCTCCAGGGGCTGCGGTGGGGCTGCCGCGCGGGGCTGCCGGGCGGCGCGTGTGCATGGGGGAGGCGGGGCTGGTGCT